GCGGTAACCCTCCGCAGATGTGAAAAAGTTATTCGGGCAGAATATTAAAAAGTGGCGAGGCTGAGCCATTTTTGTCCGCGTTTCCTCCATTTTTGGGCGATTTTGGAGCTGTTCGAGAGAGGATTTCAACTATCAACTTGGAGGTAAGTTAATTCTATACCCTTTGAGTTAAATACATAGATTATTAGTAGATTATAACTAGTAAATCTTAGAAATCAAAGAGTTAGATGAAAAACCTAGATTTTTATAAAAATGAGATTTTGACCACGAAAATAGTTATGGAATTGGGTAAAAATTATATATTCAAGTTCTTGAGATTATGGGTAACATTTTCATCCAAAAATTTTTAGAATCCGAGCACGTGGGCCCGGGGTGAATTTTAGAAATTTTACCATTTTGAATAGGGTAATTTATTTAATAGATAGATTTCGAATCATTTAGCATATATTAATTATTTTTGTATAATATTTGGATAGTTTCAGATTTTCGGCGTCGAATCGAGAATTCAACGCGACGTGGTAATCGAAAAGTGGACTTTGAGACGAGGTAAGTCTCTTGTCTAATCTTGTGAGGGAAAAATTATTCCATAGGGATTAAATTGAATAATTATTGCTAATTGCGGGGGCTGCGTACGCACGAGGTGACGAGAGTCTGTATGTAGCTACTATAAATGCTAAAGTCCGGGTAGTTTAGGACTCAAAGCATGAATTACTTGTATAAATTTTATTCCTTGATTAATTAATATTAATTGATATTTATGAATATATTGTGAATTGTTAGATAAAGATATCAAAGGATGAAAATCTCATATGTTTGATTTTCTGTTTAAATCAATTAATTATTAAACGAAATTGTTCTCCTCCCGAATTTATCTCATAATAAATATACTCTCCTTCCGGAGGTACATAAGAAAATGTCCTCCTTTTTTGTGGAGCGGGCCGAACGCCTCGACAGGATAGATGCATCTATGGATCGTGCCACACGTCCCTCGGCAGTGTACACGATACTTTGGATCGGGTCGTACGTCATCGGCAAAAATCGTGCTTAATAATGATAATTACACGATACCTTAATAGTTTATTTCAGCTTGCGAAGCTAATTGATAAATTGAAAATCTTTGAAATTTAATGAATTATTATTCCTGCTTGTTAAGGAATTATTGTTATTCCTGTAAATGAAACTAATTGATAAATTAAAAAATTTATTGAAATTGAATTGCAGCTTGTAAAGCTATTGGTTAAATTGGAAGCTTTATTGAAATTTCATGATTTAATTAATAAATTGGAAAATTGTTGCATTTGAAGGATTCTTATTATTTCTCCTAATTGAATAAAATTATTGTTAACTCTGTGAACCATGCTGATTTGATTAATTATAATTTATTTCAATTTTTATTATTGACCATAGTGAGTGTCAAAGTCGACTATCTCGTCTCTACCACTTCAAGATTAGGCTTGATACTTACTGGGTACACGTTATTTTCGTACTCATATTGCACTTGTTGCACATTTTATTGTGCAGGTACATATATGTATAGCGGTCTTATGGGCGCAGAGGTGTGGTTAATAATTATGGGGACATATGTGAGCTGCATTCTATATTACGATCCGCAGCTAACAGAGTCTCCTTCAGAATTATTATATTTTTTTATCTAATTTGTATTCTGGACAGATGCTGTATTTTATTTTTAATTTTCTAGAAAATGCTCATGCACTTGTGACACCGGGTTTTGGGAATGGTTGTGAATTATTTAGAAATTTAATTGCTAAAAATATTTATCATTTACTCTATGAGTTTTATCTTTACAATTTCATTGAAGAAATTTTTATTTCTAAAATACTAAAATGGGTAATTAAGTTAATTGATTATGGTTGGCCTGACAGTGGTGTCCGGCGCCATCACGGCCTTTAATTGGATTTCGGGTCGTGACAAAAATAATGCAATTTTGGCTATACAATTGCTATCATTAATTTCAATTTAGCACCTTCTAGTAATTTAAGGGTATAAGCTGAAACCTCTTCATTTACCTGCAGTCAATCCAACATTATAAGGGTATAATATTTTTTTCATTGAAGAATATTAGTTTTGAATTATTAAATTATGTGAAAGATTTTTTTTCTCGAATTCAACGAGATGGTTATTGGTTTCTAATTGATAGTTTCTATAGCGATTTTCAAGCGTAACAAAAAGTATATTTAAAAAAAAAAATTAGTATGACATAAATTATTTTTTTAAAAATGTAAACAAATTATTCGAAATGGGATTATATTTTAAAATATAATTTAATTTTAAGAATAAAAATATAAGATATTTTTAAATTTTAGTAGAGAGTTTTTAAAATTATTATAATAGAAGTCATATCATGGATAAAATCAAGAAATCGAAATCTTATAGAATATTTACATAAATATCCGGCCAGATTTATTGTTTACTTCCTATAGGTAATATACATAGATGATATACCGATAACACACGATTATACACATATTATATATGGATTATATATAAATTATACATCCTTCAATTTTTTAATTTAAGTAGTTGGGTGAGTACCTATTTAGGTTGATTAGATAAAACCAAAAGAAAAATATGAAAGAATTTCAACGAAAGACTAAAAATATAAATAAAATTCTTAGGTAGACAATTTCTATTAAACTCATCCTTTTATAGCGAAATAAATTAATTTTTTATAAAAAAATAAAGAAAGATATAAAAAATAAGATAAAAGAAAACAAATATATAAAAAAATGTATGAAAAATCTAAAAACCAGAAATAAGAGATGACAAGGAATTTCTTCTTCTGTTTCATCTTTGTTGAGTATAAAAAATTTAGAAGCTGATCTCATCAATTTCAAATATTTTTTTCAACTCAAATACATAGATTATAATATAAGGATATCTTAGATTTTTTTTTTAATTTACATTGTATGTCGTTTTTAAAAAAATCACTATTACTAACAAATTGATATGATATTTGAATTTGAATTTAAATGCAATTTGAGTAGCTTGCATTGAGGTTAAGCCAAGTATAGTTCGAGAAAAAAATTACTTAGTAATTTTAACACAATATATACAATATTATATAATAACAAATCAATTAATTTAACATTTAATGATTCAAAGAACAAAAAATCTGTATACATAGGATATTCAAAATTCAAAATATGTGGTTAGAGATATCGATAAACTCAAAATGGAGTCATACTGAAATAAAGTTTTACCAGCTAAAGAATTATTTAAATTTTTAGATAGCTGATTAACGTAAATTTTAAATTAAGGATAATATCTTCACTTGCATCATTATAAAGATAATCATTATTGAAGTATATATAAAATTTTAAAAATTGAAATTTTAAAATAGAAATATTTTTTGAAAGATAACAACATACCAAATAAGAGTTCACGTCGTAGTAAAAGAATCACGTCGTAACCAAAGAATCGTTCATATTGTGTCAACCTTTGTGCTTTGCCGTAAATATGAGTTATTATTTCGCTTTGTGGCTATTTTTAGGTTCCAATGACACCAATGAGAATGATGCAAAAATAAAATTATCACTATGAGATTTGAGAAAATGTTAGTCTTTTTTCATGTAGTGTTTATTAATTAATATCTAACGATTATCTATAATTATCTAGAAGGTTTAAATTTTAAGGTTATTTACATATAATTCAAATAACTCAGATATTTAATATGGTTAATGTCAAATATCAAAATAGAGTCATACTGAAAAAAAAAAAAAATTCACTGGCTAAGGAATTTTTTAAATTTTTAGATAGTCGACTAAAATGAATTTTGAATTAAGGATAATATTTTTACTTATATTATTATAAAAATAATTATTATTGAAAAATAAAGTTTTAGAAACTGAAAATTTAAAATAGAAATATTTTTTAAAAGATATCAACACACCAAATAAGAGTTCAAGTAATAGTAAAAGAGTCAAGTCGTATCCACAAAGTCCTTCATAGTCTCAACCTTTGATTATTTTGCTATAAATATGAGTTATTGTTTTGCTTCCTGACTATTTTTAGGATCCAATAACACAAGCGAGAATGATACCAAAAAAGAAAAATAGAATTATAACTAGGAGATTTGAGAAATAGTTAATCTTTTTTCATGTAGTGTTTCTTAATTAATATCCAATTATTATCTATATTTATCGAGAAAGTTTAAATTTTAAGATTAATTATATATAATTCAAATAACTCAAATATTTGATATGATTAATATCCGCGCATACACTCGGATGCTAATACTAGTGATAAGAGTATAGGACAAATACACAATGATTCGTAAACGACAAGGAATAATACGCCAAAGGTAATACTCCTCTCGAATGTTGTCAAAAAGTTTGTAGACTTAAATGGACCAGTTATATATGCTTAGGCTACCTATAAAGCGCTCCTAAAATTCAAAGAAAAGTATTACTACAAGTTTGACACTCTCTAAATAGTTTTTTTTTTTGGTACGCGGTCATTGAGGAATATTTAAACTTAGAGGGTGGTACCCCTTGGACAAAAAATTTAATGGAGAATCAATTTGAGCAATTTTGAATAGTACAGGAATAAATTTAAACGTTTTCCATGTATATTGTTGGCCTACCATTGGAATGTTACAACTTTCAATGAACTACCAGAGCTATTAAATGACTAATAATGATATCTTAAGTATAAATTTTGAAATATTTGTTCTAAAAACATGTCTTTTTTTTCTTAAATAATTTACCTTAACAATTAAAAACTAAAGTGAAAAAAATAATCCCTTAACTATAATTATAAGTGGTAAATATGTATATACGAATCACATATCTTGCATTGCATGTATTAGTTTGATTTTAATATCTCTTTTTGTGAAAGAATTTCAATTTAATTGAAATGCCATTTTTGACATTTGACGCCCCAAGAGCGACAATAGTTTATGTTACTCCATTAAATAGAATGAATATCTCGTTGGGTTTAAACGTAAATAATGAAGCAAAGTTTTCATGGTGTCACTTTTTGACTTCAACTTGAAGACGGAGTGTGGCTGTAAAATTTTAATCTAAATTTCGTATCAGAATATTCGTATACCGTTAAACCTTGCAGCTAAGTTGCGTTTAATATACAAAAGAAGCAAAACTGAAAAAGGATAACACCATCACTACTGGGGAGAATCGCAGCTTGTGTTGCTTTCTTTGGATTAGGGTTCAGAGTCCCGAGCGAACCCCAAAACCATTCTGTTGCTATAGTCATGGACTCCCCCGCTGTCAATCACTTGGATATCTTCGATATTTATCGCCGATATTGTGGTTAATTACCTTTCTCCTTTTTCTACTTTTAATTTTCATTTCGTAATTTTGTTGCTATTTATAGTTTGTCTAGTGCTATTAATAGATCGTGAGATGAATCTTATGTATGTCTGAATTTGGTAATATTCAAAATTAGTCAGGGTCGACTTTAAGAATCCTTAATATCCATTCAGTTCAATTCGGTCCTATTTCATTCATGAAATTATGTAAAGCGCCATACTTTTGTCTTTGATCTGGATGTTAGGTTTAATTTATTAATATAGGTCAGGTTTATATAATTAATTGGTGTTTTTAAACTTAAGTAGCTCTGATTACTGATGGGGTTTCCTTTGCAGATATCATGTCTGGAACATATGCTGCTGGGAGCGTAGAAGATGAATTGCAGAAAGCGAGATTCTCAAAAGAGGCATTGAATCAGCTTATGAAGTTCGTGGAGTCAAGTTTGCACATAAGGCATGTATTCGGTAGGACATGTAACTACCAGCATTTTTTGGGTCTTCATTCAAGAATAGAAAAAAAAATACGGTTTTTCATTTTTCTGTAAGTACAAATAGATTTATTCACTATCAGCAAAAAAAAAGAATTTTTTTTATGAATAACTGCAGCACGAAGGAGTAATGGCAAAAGAGTTTGCTGGACTTGGATCCTTTATGTATGTAACGAATGCAAGAAGTCCATTACTATACAAGAATTGCACCAATATGCATTTCAACTTAATACGAGAAATTTTCTGTTTTCCCCTGATATCACCTGCCCGTGAAAGTTGCAAAGGCTTGACTAATATCAAAGAATAGTTGGGACTTCTCTAGACGCGATTCATTTGAAAGTATAAAACTTTTAGGGCAAATATATTCCCTAGATACTATCCTTCAACCTTCTTTTGCTGATTTAGATTTATATATGTTGGGGTAGTAGGTAATTGCAATTACAGATAAGAGAAGACAGTGGGTGACAAAAGCTGTTTCTGGCTTGCAAAAACAAAGGTTCGAAGGCTGCATGGTTGAGAGAATAACATTAATAAACAAGTCAAATTTGTGGTTCATAAAAAAAAGATCAAATTGCTTGAACGGGACAGATTTGTGGTTGAATCTACTAGTAATGTTACTTTGGCCATCAGTAAGAAATTCTCATATCACTTCTCTTTTGAGTAGGAATATATGTGCGATATTATATTGGAAAGCCAAATACGTTTACCAGGTGAACTAAGTGTTTTCTCTCTACATTCTTTTGTGATCACGTTGCTTAGCTGTGTTAGTCTTAAATCACCTTTCATTATGTGGGGGGTAGATAGATGGGTCATATGAGGTTGATAATATTGAGAAATCTGTTTTCATCCATGGCAGGGCGGCTATCTTTGAAGAAGTGTACAAGCTTATGTTGCGGTTAAATTTGGAGGTTTGTTGATTAGANTATGGGCTCTGTTCCATATTCATGATTCATCCACGTCCATATCTTTTACTGTTAGCCTTAAAACATTATTAAATTTTTTTTCAATCATCAAAAAAGGAACTTACATTGTATTTCCTTTTTGTAGGCCGACTTCTCTGAGTTCTCGCGTTTCTATGATTTTGTCTTCTTCATTTGCAGAGAAAATGGACAAAAGAACATCAGTAAGTTGATGACTTGTAAATGATCTTTCAAGCGAGCTTGCTCATGCTTCATAAAGCATTTACGAAGCATTTAGCTCCATGTCAATCTTATTTTGCATTCAAAAATATTTTCAGCTATAAGCAAAGCTGTTACTGCCTGGAAATTAGTTTTAGCTGGAAGGTTTCGGCTACTTGACCACTGGTGCAACTTTGTTGAGGTAAGTGTCAGTGCTGCTAATTGATCTCTTATCATGTGTTCGAATTGCATTGTTCATCTGTTCGTATGCCTTAAGAATTGTAGAATTCTAAGAATTAATAAAATTTATCAATTACACAGGTATGTGCTTGCTCAAATCTTGGCTTCTCTTAGATTAATTGAGTAGAGAATTAGTCTGGTTTGTAAAGTTTGTCTTAAATGTCAATGTAATACAAACAAAAGGTCTTGTCATCTGATGAAGAGAAGTCGAAGATCGTGGATGTCGCACCATTAGCACTCATGTGGGTCGAATGGAAGGAGAGAAATAGAAGAGCTTTTGAAGGGATAGAGAATGTCTACATATATTTGAGGACAACCTCTCATTCCTAGTTTCTTTCCGTACCCATGAAATTCCTGTTTGTGTATAACGTTAAATGTCGTTAGTAGAGAATCATATTATGTTATAAATTCTCTACCTTTTTGTGTACTGCTTGTATTCATGAAATTTTCCAAACAACAACAACACCACCTTTGTGCCAAACATGTGAGGGTTTTTCGTAAAATTGACTAGTTTTACGCTGGCTGCTCTGTCTACCGCAACTATTCTCCTTTATTCAGGCTTGGGACGGGCAATATGAGCAAGCTCACACCAGGGGAGTTATAGATGAGATTTTCCCATTATTAATACAATTATATACCTTGCAAAAGAAAAGAAAAAAAACTTTGCCATCTGATAGAGGATTTATTCTTTTTGTCTTTCCTCATGATTGTGTTCTTTTTCTTATCTGTGTTTTTGGTTTGGGCATTGGGGTTTTTCTATAGTAGTGGGATTGACAGTCAATTCCTGAAAATTTTATGCATTACTTAACTTGTCTTTGTCAACTTCAATGAGCTTCCAGGGTGGTGCCTTACTTCCCAAAGAATGATATTCTACTTTATGGTTGGGTGACTCCAGAATGTTGTGAACTGCTAATTTTCCTATATAGTGACTTGTTTACTGTCTCGATTCGCAGAAAAATCAGCGATACAATATATCCGAGGATACTTGGCAGCAAGTTTTGGCCTTTAGCCGTTCTGTGCATGAAAATCTTGAAGGGTATGATCGGGGAGGTATTAAATTTTTGCAGTTGCAGCTTTTCAATTATCACCATCCAGAACCTGTCAATGTGACCCTTATTCATACTTAATAGAGACGTATTGCTCAGTTTGGTTCCTGAAGATCCTGTGTTTTGCTCGCATGATATGTGCTGATGCTTAATGCCTGAAAATAAATATCGCCAGTAAAAAGATGTTTATCGACTCTATATTAACTGAACTTCCAATCAATTTGTGGTTTTTGATTATGATCTTAATCATGTTATTTAACATTTTTACTTCTTGCTGATGCAAATTTGCAGACTATTCTCTATACACCTGTCTGCTTCTGTCCTTTTGGAGGATTTAGGTGATATTTTTCTAAAGAAATCAAGCGGGAATATATTCCCCAGATAAATTTGTATGGGATATGCTTCATAAAAGCTTCCTGTAAACTTTGAGTCATGTTGGCGTGTGATTAAGAAGCTTCCTGTATATATGGTGGCGAAATGTGATAGAAAGTCCTGCATATTTAGCGGAGAAATCTGGAAATGACCTCCATCGTTCTGTGATCTAGTAATCCACCTGTTGTTTACTTTCTAATAATAAAAATCATAAGCTGTTACTGAAGATACTGAAGAAACAGAGTGAACTTAAAGCCGGTAGTAACATGAAATCTTATTTAGGCTGGAAAACCAAGAAGCATAATTAATTGGAGTCTTAAGAACAACAACAACCCAGTGGAATCCCACAAGTGGGGTTTGGGGAGGGTAATGTGTACGCACACCCCTACTTGGGAAGTAGAGAGGTTGTTTCCCAAACACCCTTGGCTCGAGAGGAATTAATTGAAGTCTTATGTGTCCTATGTATCAAATTTAAAGCTTCCATTGAGGGGGTCCTATCATATGTTCCTAGGGCCAGTGCATCTGTGAGATCTGGGAATACTGCATATGCAGGAGTTATTCTCTAGCTATAGGAGATTAGAAACACAAAAGAGCTATGGATTTGCAATTTCAGTGGTCCGTTAGATAAAATGAGAGCGTTTGAAGGACGTCATGTCCTCCAGAGGACAAACGCCAGGTTACTTGCTGAGCTTATCTCAAGTCTTTATACTACTTGAAGAAATCCCACTAATTTGGCATTTTGGGTGTTTCCTATTACCAAATCACCCTTATAGTTCGATGTGGTATTTATAAGAACTTAAGAAGTACTTTTTAAAGTTCGATGTGGTACTTATAAGTTTTGTTGCTTATAAGTTTAATATGATATCTCAATCAATCTACAATCCCTCAAACAAATTAGTTGAGGTATCTGAATCATATGTATAAATTCCACTCTACTCGGATCCAATTCATTCTGATATTACATAATATTTTTTCAAAGCAAATAAGGGGTATTCTAGAACTCTATACTTATTAGTTATTTCTACGCTGACCTTTGCGTCTCTATCCATAAGAAGCAGATGGTCAAATACTGAACCAAATGTAAATAGACAACTGAGTTTTAATCCCTAACTTGTTGGTATTGTCTATGCATTCTCTGCTTCCGTGATGTTCTATTTGTACTATTATCAGGAATTCGAACTAAATTAACTTGCAAGACGATAGGAGCAAAATGTGGGTCTTAGTTTAGAAAGAATGGTAGTTAAAAGTTACTCAATTCCGCGATAGGTCGACCATCAAAGTTTAATTTGTGAATTTGATTTGTGCATTAAATTGGCAAGATCATGCGAGCATAGTTAATGGTGCAAAAGCATCACTTCATTGTTTAACTGAATCTGAATTTTCAATTTTATATGGAGTGAGTTCCATATAGAATATTATTATTTCTTGGACTATGTCAAGCTTTTTAAAGTGTCCTAAGATGGAAATTGGAACGACTCTCATATAAACCGGTTATGAAGGAGAAACATTTTTTAGCTTCCAAAAAGTAGAAGGTTAATTTTCCTCCCACTGCCTCAGTTATTTCCTCACTTGTCTTGTCTTTCTTTTCTGTTGAGTAATTATGTCCTTTACGATATACAGTGTGGAATGAATTTGGACTTCTTTGATATCATGGAACGATGATGATGTTTAGAATACCAGTTTCCTTTTTTGTGTATTTGTTCTTCGATCTTACTCCTTGCTCCTCCCTCCCCTTCCTAAACTAAAAAAACCCACTCTGTTTAATTTTTGGGTTATTCTCCGCAGGAGCTTGGCCAGTTTTGATTGATGACTTTGTGGAGCACATGTACAGGTTGGCCATTAACCAATTTCGTTGTGGAAATCAGAATTCTCATCTGCTGCTGCTTCTGTTGTCTAGATTAAATTGGTCTTATTTATCTCTTCCTCTTTTCTTCATTTTTGGGGCACAAAGAGGTTATTCCATGTATGACGTGTGTATGTTAGAGATGCAATTACCCCCTATTGCTTATGCTTAGAGAGTATAAGCTTGGTATTATATGATTCAGGAGATTGATCTTTATCAATCACATGTAGGGGTGGCAAAATGGTTAAAAGAAAATAGTTAACCACCCATATTATCCACTAAAAAATGGGTTGGATAATGAACTTTTTAAAAACGGGTCAAATATGGATAAGAACCATATTATCCATTTAGAAAATGGATAACCAATAGGTAACCAATGTATAACCAATGAGTCTAACTTTTACATTTGTAAAGCCTCAAATTGAGGGTTCTTCAAGTTAGGGAGACTAAGAATTCTCCCAAAAGTGATCATGTGCAAGAAGGCATGGATAATATGGTTACCCATATTATCTGCCGGTTAACCTGTTTTTTATCCGTATTAAATATGGGTCGGGTCGGATAATTTATCCGTTTTTCATGACCCATTTGACCCGAACCATATCCGACCCGACCCGCCCGTTTGCCACTCCTCATCACATGTATCATTAAAATATTCATCTTATAGACAAGGTATCAAGAAATTCTGGGGACTAACTGAGGTGATTGATTGTATAGAACTTCGTGGACTTGGTATCTTTCTTGGACCATCATGGTTGGTAGTTCATGGCTACACAAGTTGTGGTTGGTTCCTTCCCATGGATAATTTCATTACATGATCTATTTTCTCTTTCACTGAGGATATGTCTAGATTTAGGTTCAGACCGCAGCATAAACTGATAGAGAAACCTTGGCCTTGCTTTTGCATTCTGTACCGACCCAATGTACTTTCTGAGGTCATTAACAGTTTGTACTTCATTTTTTACTAGATTTGACGAGGCAGCTTTGCTATGCAGGATTGGAGGAGTCGATACTATTTCTAACTCATTCTGTAGCTGTGGTGAATCAAGAGCCCAGCCATTTGAGGATTCTTTCCCTGGTAATTGCTGCTGAAGAAACTTTCTTGGATAACACTGCATTATCTTTTCGATTATTCCATATTTATGTTTTTGGTGCAGGATTGAAAGCTTTTCCTGGTTTGAAGAGGAAGTCTTGTGGCAATTCGCAAAGAGGAGAAGAATCATATGATGGATATCCTGTCATGGATGTGATTGTCAATTCCAAGAGGAGGCACATTAAATTTGCCAACCAAAGTTTTCAGTGGACTGACAACCAATCACATGGTTGCTTGGAAACGGTTAAACCAAACTACCCCTTAAATCATTCTGCATCTCCATGCGCTGTTGAAGGTTGTCTGTCCAAGAGTCTTGCGGGACTCTTCTCAAGTCCTTCACGTTTGCAGTTTGATGAAGAAAGGAGAGTCTCCTATACATAAAAGGAGTGTGATCTGACAGGTACTCGGGGTAACATATTTTGTTCCTTTTTGGGTGTGTAATTATTCATTACTGCAAGCTTAATGGAGCGACGTAAACGATAAAGATTCATATAGCCGACCACGTGCTTGGGATTGAGGTGTAGTAGTTAGTTGTTGTACTAGTTCATTACTGGAATATATCATGAAGCAGTGTAATCGGACTTTGTTTTTTCTTATTCAGTTACTTCTGTATGTTGATACCTTTCTGGTGCCTAATTCATGGTTTTCCTAGCAGAATTTGTGGTTGATCTGGAAGGAACCTGTTAGTGGTCATTGGTATATCTCCTGGAGTTCCATTAATCACGGGATATCAGCGCTATGGTTGCAACTATATGCTGAAAAGCATGCGATTAATTGCAAGTATTAGCTTGAAGTTGAGTGGAACTGGGAATCTCTTGGTTTCTTTACAGATCACAACCAGAAAGCCACATCTTTGGACTTGCACCCATAGACTGATTACTGGGATTGTGATAGTCACCAGGGAAAAAGTGCGACATGCAAGATTAGATTTTTTTATAAAAGAAATTCAATTTGAACTTTTCTATTATTATCGTTCTCCTGGGCGGGGAGATGGCAGTGTTAATTACAGCTATGTTCTTAGCGCAAGGCTTTGTGCTTTCTTTGAAGTGATTTACTGATGCTTCTTCTAACCCTCTCTTGGGTGTGTGCTGTTGTCCAACATTTGACGTTTCTGATCAGCAAATCTAAAGGAGTATTTTGTGGTCATTAAATTTTAAAATTTGTACATCTGAATCAATAAGACTCAATTAAATTTAGAACTGCTTGACTAGGAGATCGTCGTGTGTACCATCATTGCTGCAAGTTTCAACAAAATGCGCGATGCGTTGTATTGGGTTGCCCTTCCCATCAAATTGCTGTGACTTTGGTAGCTGATAGCCAGTTGGCGTTGATAGACAATAAATCCGCCAAAAATAATCTTTTAATTTATTTCAGTTATCATCCTATTTTATCTCAAGTGCCTATCCTTTCAAGTTGAGAGGGAGACCCTTAGCAGTAGATTCCGAAATAAGATTGACTTCCTCAAGTGTCAAGTATGATTGTTTTGTGAATATTATACAGGACTGCTTACATTTTATTTTTGGGCTAACAAAAAGATTGACTAAAGGAAATACCCTTAACAAAGCTCTATCGCTCAAATACAAATGCCAAGAAAGGGATTCCTTGGAACAGTATCAAATGATAAAGAAACTTACTGAAAATACTTGAAATGCCATCATGCCTATACGAGTGTACCGTAGCGGTATATATGTACTGAACGTCTCGATTCAATTCAAACTAGTAACTTCATCCATAGCAGTTGAATTGGACTAAATCGATGTTGAAACCCTCAAGCAACAAGTTCATATCCAGTAAACAAGTAAGTGGAATGTTATGTATGAGCCGAACCCGCTTCAACACATAACAACACGCCATGGTAACAAAAAATGGGGTCATTGATTCTAATGCATGATATTTGACACTAGCTGATTCCTTAAAACTTTCAACAAAAAAAGAGTAGAGATTGGCTATATATAATTAAATCTTGGTAACTGTAAAGAATATATACATGATGATATATATAACCAAGTACGACCACCATACGTGAAGTAACCAATATGTTGCATCCTCTCAGTTTCATGACCAGAAATCGGGCCCTGAAATTCAGTCACCTGAGAAAGACAAGGTTTTAGAACTTACCTTGGATAAGCAAAATTGGAGCAATGCGATATACCCAGCAAAACTCAATATTTGGACCCTTGAGGGAAGAGCTGAAACACCTTCATTAAACCTGACAGTATGGCCACAAGTTGACATATACAGACGCGTAATGAGTCTCACCACTGATACTTAGCAGCAACAACAACTTCCTCATAGTTATGAGCAGCATTATCCCAACTTAGGTCTTGTGTCATACCGCGTCTCTGAAGCCCCTCCCAACTCTGTTTGTACTCGCGATAAGTCAGTAAGCAATTTCCTAATGCGTGGATCAGCTGGTTAGCTTCAGCCCTACTGAAGGTCCATCCTAATCCCGACTCATTAAAAGGATCAAAAGGCTGCACAGTATCTTTAAGTCCTCCTACAGCATGAACAACAGGAATAGTCCCGTATTTCATCGCATAAAGCTGGTTCAGTCCACAAGGCTCAAATCTAGAAGGCATGAGCAGAATGTCTGCACCAGCAGTTATACGATGAGCAGTCTTCACGGAGAAACCAACCCATCCTCTAATTTTATCATTGTATTGGCACTCAAATTGCCTTAGCATCTGTTCAAGGTCAGGCCTACCCGTCCCTAACATGACCAGTTGTACATCCTGACCCATCATCCAAGGCACTGCCTCAGCTATCACATCAACGCCTTTTTGGGGGTCAAGCCTCCCGATGAAACCGATTAGTGGGACATCGTCGCGAACTGGTAAACCAAGTTCCTTCTGCAATGCAGATTTACATTGAGGCTTGCCAGTCTGCAGTGTGTCCAGGGAATAGTTTACGTAACCATCTGACATTAAGTGAACATCCAACTCAGGGTTCCACTCTTTTGTATCAATCCCATTTACAATACCCCGGAATTTCCAATCATTCTCATTAATTATCTCGTGCAATCCCCAGCCGCCTTCGGAAGTTTTTAGTTCCCATGAATATCCATGACTAACTGTAACTACACGATCCGCTGTCTTTAGACCAGCTGCAAAAATGTTGAAATGCTCACCTCCTACTGGGTCATACAACCTGAAAATGTCCATGTAGTGTGGTGGAAGATCTACATATGAAAAATCATCCAAAGGACCACGACCCTGCACGCAATGGAATAAATTATAGAGATGAAAAAAATTAGCCGGCTAAGATTGCTATAACCCTTATTTACTTTACTGAAAGAAAAAAGAAATTATTCAAATCAGGAAATACTAACAATTGCAGAATTTGGGAAGAGAGTACTCCAACTACTCTACTCTTTTACATTTCAAACCATTATTTTACGCTCTTCATATCAAACTTAAAGTAATAATCTACAGGTCAAAGTAGGTCATATTTAATTGGACGAACAGAGTATTTCTAGTTCTCTGCTGCTTACATGAGAAAATCTTGCTTACCCCATAACCCCTCCTCTGTCTCTTTCATGCAGCAAATTCTTTATCAGATGAAAGTTGTATCCAAATACACATCATATGAGGCAAGAAAAATAAAGAAAAAGATGATAACTAGTAGCAGAAGAAAAATGCATCATTGTGCTTAATCATAGCACATGGGGAAAAGGTAGAATTGTACTTTGTTAATATAAAACGTCAAGTACGACATATAATTTGGAAACTTAAAGAAAGAATTTTCTATTGTTCTTCGCTGGGTTGATCTCATATTGTTATAGATCATTATGAATGAAGCATAATCCAGACTCCTTCCGCTGTATCAAATATTTATCGCTCTTCTCTTTCTGTATCAATTAGCTTCTAGATAAAGCCACTCCAACAAAAGCATCAATTGTCTTGGTCATGCCCAGAGCAAAACTTTTCATCGAATTTCACATATCAGGAAACACTGCTATACAAGTCTTAAGGATTGGTCTTTGCATGAGAAAAATGCTACCTGTAAATAAATTCACTGGGTATGGTACTCCTGGTGGTTCTAAGCTAATGGAACTTGGTGACACAAAAATAATAATTATGTCCCAAGAGCACCTAGTATATGTACAATATCAAAGTAGTCATTTTTATTTTTATTTTTTGATAACCGAGAAATCCCGGAGAGCTAGCGGGTGCACAGTTTGAATTACTTTGAAACTTAGTGGATAATGGACCCACCCCTCTACCCTTCTATCAAAGTAATCATTTATTTTAACCCTATGCATTAGTAGTCGTAGAAATCATGATTTAAGATCAATCTCCGTTGGAACTTAAAATTGGTTGTACTGTTCAATTGTTGCAAATGAAAGTGCACAGGTGGACTAGGAAACTGCTATAGTTGCTGATGAAACTGACCTGGTGAGCGATGTTATGAATGACTAGGAGAGATCTTGTATATTTCATCATTCCATTGTCACGATAATAAGCTTTCAGATAAACTGGCAATAAAGCAGTATGCCAATCATTAGCAATAAACACTAAATTTCCATCTCCATAGCAGACCCCACCACATGGCACATGCCAAGGAACCTGAAATTGCCAACAGACATGTTAGAATATCATCAAAAAATGTAATTTAAAATCATAGGAGCACTAATAGGCCAAAATATTGGGGGGGGGNCACATCCTGCGCAGTTTAAAAATTAAATTCTTAGATATGGATAGTCATGGCGATAAAATAACAAGCACAAGTTAAAAGCTACATCTTATTAATGCAGTCAAACATACCTGACCATCAACTTTATAAATTTTTCTTACACCAGAATCTTGAGGTTCAGCATAGTTGCCATAACGAGGTGCCACAACCTAAGTTTCAGGAAAATGGGGAGAAAAAGGAAACTCCATCGTCAAATAACATTACATCCTATGCATCTTGGAATGAAAAGGCAAAATTGGAAGAACTAAACAATCTATAGCTTTGCTGGCTGTTTGATGTGTCAAAAAAAAGAAAATATCGTCACAAGATTTTATTCTATGATGTGATCTTTCAAGTGGTTTATCTGGTCTTGATCATCTGGATAGACAGCATATGTTCTGGAAACATTGTGAATTTATATCATAGACTAACTTGTCCAATGGTTGGAAAGATGATGGATAGAGAATATAACACCTCGTGCAGAACATTCGGAGACTTTTTTGTGAAACATACTGGTACTTCATAGACAGAATTTTTCTGTGTACATTCTGCTTGAAACATGGTTCTTTATGCACACGCAAATTAAAACGTGAAGATTTAAACTAGTTACCATAACTCTGTGGCCACGTCGAGCCAAAGCCTTGGGTAATGCTCCAGCTACATCTCCAAGTCCACCTAAAAAACTCTTCACAAGTAAAAGAAATGCTTGCACTGATATGTATCTAGATGCATAAATACAATAAAAAATCATGCAACATTAAAGTGCAAAAAATGTGTACAAATCATGAATATTTGTTCGTGCACAGACAGAACTAATAGGCTGTTTGACCAAGCTATAAAAATCTTCTTATTTTGAGAAGTGTTTTTCCCCAAAGTGCTTTTCGGAAAAGTTCTTTTGGAGAAAAGTAGTTTGTATTTGGCTAATTAATTTGAAAAGTACTTTAGAGCAATAATTTGTGTTTGGCTAAGCTTTTCAAAGAGTACTTTTAAGTATCAAATTACGAATAAAGATACAAAGAGATTTACTTAATAGTTAATATTATATAAGTAGATAAATGATCACAATTATTTATTATTAAAGACAATAATAATTATTTATTTATTTATGTAAAATGTAAAAATAAAATTGTAGTACTTTATTCTTTCAAGATGATTTAAATATATCAAAAAGTCATTCAACAAATATGAAAGTTCTTCCCAAAAGTCATTATTTATTATTTAATAGTTTAAATATAATAAGATTATTTTGGTATATATATAATATTTTGCTAAGCGTAATTTTGGTAAGAAAATAATTAAAAATTGCTCCTGCTTCTGAGGAGAAGCTCCTTTTTTCTGCTTCTCAAAAATTGCTTCTGCTTCTACCCAAAAGCACTTCCCCCCCTCCCCCCCCAAAACGCTTGGCCAAACACCTGAGGTTGAGAAAAAAAAGCACTTTTGGCTCTGGGAGAAGCTTGGCCAAATAGGCTATAAGACTGGAGGATGTACAAGTTAGACGAACCAACAAATCCTCCGTCCATCCTCAACCATCCAGAAGAGGATAAAACGACAATAGTTGAAAAGGCAAAATAAATATAGATATTCCTTTTCATTTGACATTCACCTTACCATCTCACTTTGGACGATCAGTGATGGTTTTTCATTTCATTATATGTCTCATTTCACGTGAGTAAGAATATGTCAAATAATTATTTTGATAGGTATGAGAATATGTTAATTCTTATACTAATTAGTTATCCAGTTTATTCCAGAGATCATGGAATACTGGAAACTTCATTAACACTATAAGTTGGTGAAAAGAAACAACAAGCACTTCATTATGAATATCTTAATGCTAGTCTTACTCTTTTGCAGTTCCTATGAATTTGAAGTATCATAAACTGAACTAGAATACAAGCTTACATAGAAACTTCAAGTGTGGATAATGCACCAACTTACACATTTGTTCCTGGACAGAAGATACATATTTAGGGTAAAAGATACCTGTTTTAGACCATGGAGCGCATTCTGCAGCAACCAAAATAACGTTCATAGCATTCGTTCCTGCCAATGGAGGGGGTTTCTCATCTACATTCTCGGGGTCTTCAGTCTCTATGTTTGCCTTCTCAGCACTTGATCCTTCAAAATTTTCACTCTTCTGTTCCATGTAGGATTGTGCTGAGGATTCTTTAAATAATGAAGGCACATCAGACTGGATCTTCTTTCCAGGAATGTCGACAAAAGTTTTGCCTGTCTCTTGATTGAACTTTGGAGTTTCTGGAGGGACATATAATGTTCTTTTGGCAGAACTTACGGTAGAGGAAGTCTGATGACTGGGTGTGACAGATGATCTTGACAGTGGGGTAGCCCTTTCATCGGATTGAGCTGTTTTCGACTGCCTTTCCTGAGCTAGGTCCCTTTTAACTTCTCTTTTACTTTCAACAAAATCTTGGCTTCTAGCTGCCGGTGTATTTTTCAGGTCATCAACAATTGGCGGAGTAGCAGTACTAGGTAAAGTACTATTATAGTCTTTATCCACGCCACGGACATCAACATTTGATAAGCTACCATTTCCGTTGTCATAAGTACCTTTGGCATCTTCAAGGCTGCTTTTTATTGAAGAGACTACTTTTCTTCTTTCTGCAATCTGATACATAAGGAATTTAAGGAAGAGGACATTCCAGGAATGAAGATAGTTTTTCTTAACACACTATAATGCAGTACAAGCCAAAAACAATACCATGCGCAGGAAACGCAAGTAAACCAAACAAGCCATATTAAATAACAAATTATTCTACAGACAAACTTCCTTTTTAAAATCATAATTTGGTTCCTATCTTTATCCACAACATCCTGAAAATTATTCTCACAGCCAGATCCTTAAGTTACTTAATCATGGATTTATTTTCAAAATTGACATACTTCAAACTAAGAGATGATTATTACATTTACAGAAGAATGAAACATGTCCAACATCCTAAAACAGAATTTGTATTATTCATTAGCATATGGCTGGTAATTGCTGAATGGTTGATTTTTCTTTCTGCTGTGACATACAATATCATATCTATCCCCATTTGCGAAAAAAGAAAAAGAAAAAAGGTAAAAAAGCATTGGATCACTAAGGTCAAAGGCCCTAAAACAAGTAGTACTCCTTTACTTCTCCTTTATCTTACTATAAATTACAAAAAGAAGCAATTATTTGTCACTTTCTGATTGAATACTAAAGAATTACTACCTGTTGAAGTAGGTCCTTTTGCATGGCTAACACCTTTTTGCTCTTTTCAATTGTAGCCTGTAAAGCATCATCCGATTCATCATCTATATTTGTAGCTTCCCCAGAGTTTTTTCCTGTGGCTTTAATCCTCCACATTTGCTCTCTGCTGGAGCCATGAGCTATAGATAACTTGACTATATCTTCACCCAAAACTCTAGAACACCCAACTACAAAAAAAGGAAACTTTTTGGGCTTAAGTGCAAAGAAAGGAAACTTGGGCTGGAATTGATTTCCACTATGAAGAAGAGTGCAATTTTCCATTACAGAGAAGGGAAATTAATCCAAGATTTCAAGAACCAGAGTGATCTAGTGGAAATAAGAGTCGACCCAGTTGAGATAATTGATAAATATAGAAACCCAATTGAGATAAATGATTAGTACAGAGAAATCAGACAATGGAAGTCACTATTTGAAAGATTAGGTGTATATATGAGACCCAACAAAGCAAAAATCATGAGGGGATTTGTGTGAGGTTCAGATTGACTGAGAATCGCAAGCTCAGAGTAGAAACCAGAAACTTAGTTTTAGTTTGGGGCCCTTTGTTGAATTTATGGTATTGGGAATATCACGTGTTAATTATGGCTGTGTCACTCTACTAGCTACTGAATTTGTTTTTGAGAAAACAACATTGGACGGTCCAATATCCAGCGGTCAGCATCCATTACAAAAAAGGAAGAAGAATCATAGGCTAATTGCCATTTTTTTTTTCCCTCAAGCTAATTGCCATTCACAGTCGTAAATTCTTGAGTTTAAATCATGGTATAGATTTTTTACATGGTAAAAGCTTATTTTACTTATACTAAGCTAATAGATGCATTGATATGTATTCATGTACACTTTTGTCATTTGATCATGATTAATTAATCTCAGCTTATTAAATTACTTAGTCAGAATAAATTAATATTAAATTTATATAAGTACTGATATGAATAAATTATTATTGTTTTTAAATTATTGTATCTTTAAGCTATTTTAACAAACTATCTGGTTATCATTTTTACTTGTTATAAATAATTATATATCATTATCTTTAAGTGATCTAATGGAAGCTTCAGCTCTGGGGCGTAGCCACAATGTTGGTTGCGGGTTCACCCGAACCCAGTAGCTTTTGTTCAAATTCTGTATTAGTATTAAAAATAATAATAAATATTTATAAATTATTAATTTAGAACTCATTAAATTAAAAAGATTATAATCTCAAATCCATAAGGTTCAAATCTTAGCTATGTCTCCGCTTCAACTATGCGTTGATTTACTGAAATAACCTATGATGTCTCACTTTTTTATATCAAACAAAAAGTCGAGTGACTTTTAGAAAAACAAAGACCTTAAGAAGGTTCTTTAAGTAGGAACCAGGCATTTCTAAGGAGATGAAAGAAAAGAGGTCAAGCTAGTGCGGGAGAAAAAAAAAAGAAGATCAAGAGAGAAAAGCGAAAATCTTTTAGTTATTGACTTTTCTTCGAAGTAAAACGTTAATATGCTGAATTAGGAGGAAAAATAGAACTTTATGAGTCCCACTTATAGCAGGGGCGTCAATGAATATTTAAAAACCGACTAAATCGACCGAATCGTACCGTATTGAATCGATTTTTAGGTTTCTTTTAATAAAATCGTAAATTTTTATATAAATCTATAATCTCACCAATAATTAGAGTAAGTTTTTTATTTTATGAAAATAAACCGAAAAATACCAAACCGTACCGAATAAATTTATAATATGAAAAAATATTTATATATTAAGTTTAAAATAATAAAGCATTAATTTTTTTGGGGGGCCTTGAAATTATGAAACCGTTATGAGCCAACAAGTAATTAAACTCAAAATCCTAATTTTCAAACCTATTATGCTACTCCTATTACAACTAAATTATTTTCCGGATATTCACTAGCAAGACACAAGGTGTCGTAGCGATTATGAGTAGTAAATTACAATGTATTGAATATATTTTCTTTTGTATAATTTAAATTTATCTTTTTGAATATGTAATCTTCTATATACTTATTCTTGAGTCCCTGTTTGATTAATATCTTTAGTATTTGCTTACATTATTGTAGAATAGTTGATGAATCTATACCTTAGCCATCGTTCATATTTTTTTAATTCATCACATTTTAAACTGTAAAAATGTCTAGAGAATTTTGTCAAGTCTTATAAAAGTGCATATGTTATTGTATTTTACTTCTACTAGTGACTTTTACATGATATTTAAAAAAAATACCGAAAATTAACCGAACCGTACCGATACCGAAGAGAAACCGACATGATTGGAACGGTTTCAAAAAGTCTAATTTTGATTATATATAATAGAATAACCGAAAATTTGGTATGATATAAATTTTATAAATTATCGGACGAACCGAACCATTGACACCCCTAACTTTTAGTTAAGCTATGATTGCGCTTTACCTTTATTTTCCAGTGATCGATTTATCCATTTTGTCTTTGGAAAGTGATTAACTTTTTGGGCGAATGACATAATTATCCACAAACACAAAAATATTTATCCTTGTCTATCTATTTACTTTTCTACCAATCAAACTAATTAACTTTCCTGACTATTGTAGCTTTTGTGGATAATTTCTTCTTTTTTCTCCTTTCTTTTTTATTTCTCTACTTCTTTACTTTTTTCCTTCTTTTCTTTCTTTTCTCCTTTTTTTTTCTAGTTTTCTTCTTATATTTTTCTTTCTTCTTCTTTTCTGCTCATTTATTTTTTGCCCAAATCATATTATTATTATTATTATTATTATTATTATTATTATTATTATTATTATTATTATTATTATTATTATTATTATTATTGTTGTTGTTGTTTAATTTCATACTCAATTTTGGCTCCTTATTTATTTATTTATTTATTTATTTATTTATTCTTTTATTTATTTTCTTTATTTGTTGCTCCTTTTCTAATTTCATTTAACTCCTTTTTCTTTTATTTTCTTTTTCTCTTCATAATCTAATTTTATTGACTTTTTTTGCTCCTTTTTATTATTCTTCTTTTTTATATAATAAAAAAAGATAACTGATAAAAAAAAAAAATTCACCATTTTGTTTAAATATAACTGGTATAATATACATTTTGTCTTTTTAAAAAAAACAAATTCAATTATTAGAATAAATTATACATTATAACTGTTTTCTCTTCTCTTTTTTGCTTTCTTTCTATTTTTTTAATTTCATTTATTATTATTCCAAATTATTTTTTATTTTCGTTTTTATAATCTAATTCTGCACATATTTTTGGATCCTTTATTTTTGTTCTTTTTATTTATTTATATTTTTTATATATTAATTATTAGAAAACAACTTACATTTAGCATATAATATATAAAAATAATATATTTGTAGAAGTTGAAATATATTATTGCAGTATAATATGATACCCACATGCTATACATCATATACTGACTGGGTATATGGTATCAAGAACTCTGTTAGAAAATTAAAAAAGGACCCTTTTTTTTTGGAAAAATTAAAAAAATATCAAATTTAACTATATTGTTACATTATACCATATATTGTAATAGTATATTGTTGCAATAAATTATATACTATTGAATTAAATATTATATACCAAAATGATATATAGTATATTATTGGGAAAAAAACATAAGTAGGCACTATTCTAGAAAATTTAACATAATCATAGCAGTATGCCATAATTAACAAAAATGGCAGCAACTTAATGTCAATCTGGAGCCGTTAGGCATTTATTATGGCAATTAATATAGACAACACCATAATAGATTCCTAAATCAAAGGAGGAAATCAGGTAAGATAATTGTATCCTAAGAATATTAACTTGATAATTTGATAGGATACATGTATCTTATTTTTTAGTCTATCTTGTACACTAATATATGTGATATCCTATATATATATATATATATATATATATATATATATATATATTTTATATTTAACCGTTGCATATTAAATTATATATCATCTTGTATATTTTTAAAAAGGATATGTAAGGTATATATGTGGTATATATACATTATAACCCATTTATACATATGGTTAATGTACAATAAAATATTTTAAGGATATATATGTTATTTATACAGTATAAACCAGTATGTTCTAATATATATATATATATATATATATATATATATAGAAGAAAATGTACCATATGTAAGTGGTTTCTATATAATATCATCAACAACAATAATATACCTTGAAATATACAGGTATATTTAAATTGGTAAATGAATAAAATTTTGAAGTTAGTAAGAGATAACCCCAAAGTGGTTGCTAGAGAGGAGTTTTCTGTAGATTGAAACCCTTATAGACCGAATAAGAGTTTTATGCTTAATTCAAATCTTTGATTTGAATGTATGGTGTCAAAATTATAAATAAATATAAACACGTGTATAAGATGAATTAAGAGGTGAAATTTAGAAATTTAGAGTAGAAGGTGAGAGGAGAGAGAGAGTGAAAAAAAATCAATTCCGTGATTTGTGCCATGCGTTGACTAATTAAATGTGCCCATAATTTTACAATATCCTAATTATGTAAAAAAATCTGCTATTTGTGGAATAAACAAGAAGTAATATTATTTTCTTAAATAATTTTTAGAAAGTGCTTAGCCGGGTAGTTGGTATATAGTACAAATTAGTATTTTTTATTTGTTTAACTCAATTTCAACCTAAATTTCAAAAATCTATTCCAAACTTTTCACCAAATTGACTCACACTTTAGCCACAACCTCCAATCAAATATTTTAGACTAAATATTTTGGTTTAAAAAAAATTAAAAACATGAGAACTCTGTTAAAAAGATGAAAAAGAACTCAATAAAGAATTTAAAAAATTCTAAAAAGACTAATTTGTAATAGCATACTGTTATGTTCTATAGTATACTAAAATAGTATACCGTTAGAATGAACTGTATACCAAAATGGTATATAGTATATCATTTTGGCATACAATACAAATTCCTCTTCGCCAGTTCAATGGAATAAATTATACACTATTGAATTAAATATTATTTATCGAAATGGTATATAGTATGTTATTTTGGTATATAGTACAAATTAGTCTTCTCCGCTAGTTCAACTCAATTTCAACCTAAATTTCAAAAATATACTTCAGAATTTAGCCACAACCTCCAATCAAATATTTCAAACTAAATATTTTGGTTTAAGAAAAAAAAAATTTAAAAATATGAGAACTCCGTTGAAAAAGAACTCAATAAAAATTTCAAAAAAATTCTAAAAGGACCAAATTGTAATAGTTAGTGTAACAACCCGGCCGCTCGTTTTGAATATTGTAACCCCGTTCCCCCATTTACTGCTCAATTTATGTCTTGTAATTGATTTATAACTTATTGGGTTAGTTAGTTCGGGTCCGGAAGGAACTCGGAGTGAAATGAGACACTTAGTCTCATAATTAAAAATTTAAGTTAGAAAAGTGGACGGGATATGGACTTATATGTAAACGACCTCGGATTTGAATTTTGATGATTCTAATAGCTCCATATGGTGATTTTGGGCTTAGAAGCATGTCCGAAATATTATTTGAAGGTCCGTAGAGGAATTAGGCTTGAAATGCCTAAAGTTTAATTT